AATAAAAAAAAAAATCAAGTTGTCAAGTTTTTCGAGTTATCGCAACTCGACTGTATAAAGCCTTACTAACAACCTTGAAACAAATGTTTTCATTATTCGGAATGTGCCATATGCTTAATTGCTCTGTATTTAGTTTTTAGTAATAGTAGTTACATTCTCTCTTTGTTATTTTCGTTTACTACTCTCCTCGACTTCACACATCCACTTTTTGGCTTTTCCACTTCTTATTATTTATATCCTTATATTAGTCATATCTGCTACTTTATATTATTTTGTCAATAGGTTAAAAACTTGGCTGAGATCAAAAATGGGCCAGGATCGGCTTACAGGGTTGGCATTATTAAACATTCACAGATCTATAGAAATAAATGTTGATGATGTAATTGATCGATTCACAAGTCTTAAAAAAAGAAATATAGATTTTGTTTTGTAATAAAAATTCTTTAATAAAAGTGCTAAATTAAATAATAAAAATGCTTTGTTTTTTTATATGTCTAAAAATGTTTTTAATTGGTAGGGCGGTTTACTCCTCTTAATATCGCCCCCCCCCCCTAGGTGAAGTCTCAAATACGCCACTGTTTTTAGTGACAGAGAAAATAGTTTATCAACTGAAACACCGCCAACTAAAAAATCCAAATATATACCTGCACAATATCTTCAACGATCAAACGAACGAAATGAATTAATTAAAAAAATACAAGCACGCAATGAGCAACTTTTAACGAGGGAGGAAGAAAAATTAGACGAAATTGACATGTTTTTCAGAGGTTTAGCTATAACAGCCAAAAAATTTCCGACTAAGGGAAGAATTGAAGCAAAAAAAAAAATATTTGCATTAATGACCGAGTTAGAGGAAAAATATTTAGCACAAGAACAACCAATTCCTCAATTTCAAGCTATTCACCAACCTCATCATCTTCACATTCCGTCAGAAAACATGTATAATATACAGTCAGTGTCTACGAATCAATCATCTCCATCAACAAGTGTATATTCGGATACTACGTCATGCTCACAATTTAATCTATATAATATGGATGATGCAACTATGTAACTATTTTAATAAAAAAGATATTTACTAATGATTTAAAAATATTGTTTATTTTATGGAATAATACATGTTATTTCGTACAATAGGTTGGTAGATATTATTTTTATTTTTTTTCCAATGTTAAGTAAAATATAAATAGGTAATAATAATAATAAAAAAAATATACTGTTTGATATATATATATATATCAGAATGCAGGTACCTAGTAAAGATAACGTACTTGATGAATACAACAGGTAGTTTTTTAAATATATGTAAACAAATTTAAACATTAAACGTATAGCTGTTATAGTTATAAATCATTTTGCCATGATACTGCTCCTTCATTGTTGAAAAATGATTTGAACGTTTCTCTTACACCAAAACCTTCTGCATTTGAGAAACCACCAGATCGTGAAAATGAAATTATATTGTCAGTAGGAGGCGTTTGTTCCGGTTCATATTCATAATAGGGATTTTTATTTTTCTCCAGATATCCTTCTCTGAGCATATTATGCAAACAGCAAGCCACCCATATAAGATCATCACACGTACTTGTTTTTAAATGTATAGGTTGGTAGAAAATTCTGAATACTTGGCTTAATAAGCCAAAAGCATTTTCTGTTACTCTACGTGCACGGCTCAATCTGTAGTTGAAAATAGCTTTCGTTTTATCGGCTGTAGCCGTTTTTTTTGTATAGGGTTTCATAATATGCTTATCCAAACGAAAAGCTTCGTCACCCACAATGACATGAGGCACTACTTTATTTGACCCGGGAAGTGCACATTCTTCTGGGAAGCCAAATGAGCGATTAAGTATTTGTTTTCCCATATTCGATTTTAAAAAAATCCCGCTATCCCCTTCTTTCCCGAAAGAGCCGATATCAACTGCGACAAATTTATAATTGGCATCTACCATTGCCAGAAGCACTATAGAGAAAAAATCTTTATAATTACGATATAGTGATCCCGATTTACTGGGACATCGAATTCTTATGTGTTTCCCATCAATAGCCGATATACAATTTGGAAAATTCCATTTGTAAGAAAATTCCGCTGCTTTTGACATAAAGTTAATAGTTTTTGTATCAGGCATAAAAATTGGAATTAATTTCGTTTTTAAAGCAGCTAACGTTATTTTGATTATCACACTTATATAACTATAGTTTACTCGAAATCCAAATGATAGTGAACGCATTGACTCACCAGTAGCTAGATATCTATTAAAAATTAAAATGTAAACAGAACCAGTTAAATAAATGTCCGTGTAATTTATTAAAATTTAAAATTTACCTTAGTGTGATCGCTAACTTTTCTGCTGGTGAAATTGGTTTTTTATTTCTATTACTTGGTGGTAAATTTATTTCGTTTTCAACCATAGAAAGTAAAAAATCAAACTGTTGAATATTGACACGAAAAAATTCACGAAATTTTATGTTATTATTTTTTAAATGTCTATTAATTAACACTTCGTAAAAACCTTCTGTATATCGCGATACTTGAACATATCATCTGTTCGCTTTTTTTTTGGTTTTAGATAGGAAAATATAAAATCTTCTTCATCTTCTTCTTCCAATAATAAAGTCAAAATGTCATTATTATTAATATACATCTCCATAATAATTAAAACAAAACTGTATTAATTATTAATTATAATTAAAATCACACACGCGTCTGTATGTGGACAGGTTTGCGAGTGAACTGAACATTATGTACTATTGTACTCTGTAGCTACTAGTTACCCAAATCGCCGCGACATGTCGCGTTTAGTAAAACACAACAGAAAAAACGCGTCGCGACGACAAGTCGCGATGGTCGGTCGCGGCGACAGGTCGCAGCGACATGTCGCGCCTTGGAAAACGTACCTTTAACGACCTATTTTAAATTTTCTACTTTTTAAAATTTATTTTTCATTTAGTTATTATAACAGTTTTCGATGTAAGATTCCTCATAAGTTGTTCTTACGTAAATCAAATATTTTTGATTATGAGGGTTATAGGTCAAATTCGTCAAAAT